CCCAGGGGCCATGGTCGATGTCATTGCGTCCAACCTAGAGGGAGAAGCATCCGAATGGCTGATTTATGTAATGAGCAAGCCCCCAAATTGGAAGACCCCCAACTCTTCCTCCTAGGGCTGAGGGAAAGATTTGAGGACCCATCTATTGGTCTTAAAGCAAGAGAACAGATCCACAAAATAAAACAAGCCGGCAGGCCTACGTGCGGGAATTTTGCAAGATAGCAGGCCAAATAGACGGGTGGCCCGAACAATCTCTGGTCCAACATTTCATTGAAGGGTTAGACGATCACCTCTCTTAGGCATGCATCTATCGAGCCATACCTGATCAGCTGCATGAATTGTACCAGGCAGCAGTGAAGCTAGATGTTCAGCTCACCCGCTATAAGAAGCCTCCCCCACATGAACCCGAGCAGCAACCAGAGCTACCCAGACAGCAATCACCCCCATGAAAGCCTTCAAACACGGCAATGGCAGAGAGACCCAGGCCACCTACAGGGCCATCAATTAAGTGTTTTCGGTGTGGACAAGAGGGACATCGAGCAGCAACCTGTCCAGTCCCCCAGATGTTGCAGAGCAGACCGGAACCAGCAATGAGAAAGAAACCTGCTCAGCGGCTAACGAGAGAAAAATCCAACCAGCTCAGGCAGGAATCTGTTGCCCAGATTATACCCCGCACGCAGGAGAACACTGAGACTCCAGGTGGACCCGCCCCTGCTCTACCCTCCTTTGACAGTGACGATGAAGGAGAGAACAACCCAATGGTGAGTCGACAATCCCGCCTTTTTTCACTGGCCACCAAATTTATAATCCCTAAGTCTGGGGCACAAATGGACTTAAACGTGCTAATTGATTCTGGATGCACCCGCTGCATTATTAGTCTGCCGTTTGCCATGAAAATGGGCATACGGGCAAAACAGCTTTCCAAACCGGTGAGGTTTGAGCAAGCCGATGGCTCCCTGATGGGAGGGACTCTTGTCACACAATTAACCGAGCCCTTACGCCTAGAAATAGGTGCACACTGGGAGTTTATTCGCTTCCTGGTGGCTCCAAAAATGACTGAGGTGGTGATCTTAGGGCTAGCCTGGTTAGACAAATGGAAGCCATTTATCTGGTAGGAGAAAGGAATGAGAACTGTGAGACTACCTATAGAGCCTAATCTCCTCATTGATTCAACAGATGTTGCAGGGCATCTTAGGCCATCCAATGAGTGAGCGCACATGGCTGCCTCACCGCCTCCAGGTGAACCAGTCATCCCCAATGAATACTGGGACCTGGCAGAGGCATTTAGTGAAAAAGAATGTGATGCCCAACCCCCTCACAGACCCAATGACTGCTCCATCAAACTGGTGCCAGGAGCCAAACTCCCATGACAGAGAATGTATGCTATGTCCTCCCTCGAAATGGAGGAGATGCAGTGATACGTGAACAAAATACCTAGCGAGGGGGTTTACAAAGAGAAAAAAGATGGGTCTCTTCGTCTCTGCGTAGACTATAAGGGTCTCAACACTGTGAGTATAGAAAATAAATACCCCCTCCCCCTCCTAAAGGACTTATTAACCCATCTGGCTAAGGGGACTGTCTTCACTAAATTAGACCTGAGAGAGGCATGTTACTGAGTGAGAATAAAAGAGGGAGACGAGTGGAAAACTGCCTTCAACTGTCCTATGGGGAGCTATCAGTTCAAAGTCATGCCATTTGGACTACAGGGGGCCCCAGCTGTATTCATGCAGTTGATTAATGAGGTCCTACATGATCACTTGTACAAAGGGAGTTTCGGTGTATCTTGATGACATCCTGATATACAGCACGAATATGACTGATCACATAAAGCTGGTGAGAGAAGTGTTAAAGAAACTGTTGAATGCCAAGCTTTATGCCAAATTGTCGAAATATGAATTTCACCAAACCCGATTAGACTATCTTGGCTACAGAATTTCCAACAAGGGTATTGAAATGGATCCAGCCAAGGTGAAAGCTATAATCGAATGGGAGCCCCCAAAGACTCGCAAACAGCTCCAGAGCTTTCTGGGTTTTGCCAACTTTTATCGTCAATTCATCCCCTCTTTTGCCGAGATTGCCCTCCCCCTTACAGAACTACTCAAAACAGGCAAAGGAAGAGGGAAGCCACAACCAGGCCAACCACTAGCATGGACACTGGGCTGTCAAACAGCTTTTGAGAATTTAAAGGGACTATTTGCTGCTGAACTGGTCCTAAAGCACCCCTGCCCAGGGGAACCCTTTGTGATTCAAGCCAACGCCAGCGATGTGGCAGTTGGAGCTGTGTTACTGCAAAAGAACAAAAGTGGAATCCTGCAACCCTGCACCTACACCTCTAAGAAATTTACTGAGAGCGAGCGGAGATGGGCAATCTGGGAGAAAGAGGCCTTCGCGATTAGATGGGCGCTATTAAACTGGTGAAACTATCTAGAAGGGAGCTAGGTGCCATTTGAGGTATGGACAGATCATAAAAATCTAGAAGCACTGAAAACTCCCCGCAAATTGTCCCTAAAGCAAGTGCAGTGGGCACAGTACTTTAACCGCTTCAACTTCACTCTAAAGTACATACCAGGAGGAAAGAACTTCCTAGCTGATGCACTATCCCGGTTACCCCAATATAAAAGCGAACGGGAGGAGGTTAACGAGGCAATTATCCCCAATCCACAAACTGCCGCTCAATTTACACCTCGCAGGGTCCCCAATCCTGATGACCCTGGAGTAAAGAAAATAAAACGAGAGCTCCTCATCGACCAATGGTTCAAAGATAATCAAACCTCCCTAACCTCCCTTGGCTTGCAAAGGGGGGAAACTATATTTGCCAGAAGCCCTCCATCTTAATGCTCTCAAACACAGCCATGATGTAAAACAGGCTGGACACCTTGGATATTTGAAAACTCTACACCTCACTCACCGGCAAATTTGGTGGCCGGGGCCGAAAAGGGATGCGGAAAACTATGTAAAAAGTTGTAGTGTATGTGCCACAATGAAAAGAATCCCAGGGAAAACCCGTGGCAGACCCTTCTCAACCATGGGAAGAAATAGCTATGGACTTTATTGTAGACCTATCTGAAAGTAGTGGAAATACTGTCATCTGGACTGTAATAGACCTGTTCTCGAAGCAGGCTCATTTCATCACCTGCAAAGGACTCCCATCTGCCCAACAACTGACCAAATTGTTCCTGAAACATATCTACTGGCTGCATGGCGCCCCTAAGCAAATAATTTCGGACAGGGGGTGCAGTTCACAGCGAAGTTTTGGAGAAGTTTCCTTACATTAATTGGATCATCTCAAGGTTTATCATCTGCTTTTCATCCAGCCACCAATGGGGCCGCAGAAGCCGCTAACAAAATGGTGGAGCAATATCTTAGATGCTACGTTTCTTACCAACAGACGAACTGGACTGATCTCCTCCATTTTGCAGAGGTGGCATACAATAATTTTGTGTTCAGCAGCAGCACCGGCTACACACCTTTCAGAGTGGCCACAGGAAAAGAGTTCAGCCCAATACCTGAATATCCTCAGGTGCCCTCCGCTTTCCAGACACTTGACCAGTGGGTGAGGGGATGGGATGAAGTTTGGAGAAACACAAAAACTGCTTTAAAAAAGACTTTTGAAACCTATGAAAATCAGGCTGATAAAAAGAGGGCTCCCCAAAGAACATTCCAAGTTGGGGAAAAAGTGTATTTGTCAACTAAATATCTATGCCTTAAATTGCCCAGCAAAAAATTGGGACCAAAATTCTTGGGGCCTTTCCCCATAGTAAGGATCATCAATCCGGTCACTGTAGAACTAAAACTCCCTAGACTTTTAGGGAGAATTCACCCAGTCTTCCATTGCAGCTTGTTGAAACCTTATCGGGGCTCCACTTTAAGACTGGATGTCAACGCTGCTAATATTGTATATTCTTGCTTTGACAAAATTTGCAGAACTGTCTGATATTTTTAGAGTTAATGCAGAGGAGAAGGAGGGAGGAGGGAAAAGCCCGCGAAAGGGAAAGGAAGGGAACCTTTGCCCTTCACACTAATTGGAGAATGTAAATCGTGACAGCAAAATAGGGAGTGAGTGGAAATGCTAGCAAAAATAACTGCTTCAGTGCATGGGGAATTCAGATCTTAGCATTGCCTTTCTTCATGCCTGTGCCAACATTTTGTCACATAAATAAAGAGACTTTTTAGGATAAAATGCCTGGAAGTTCTTTGAGGTGTTTCATTAGTCGGAACCATGACACACAATTAAAATATTGTATAAACATTAAAACATCAAGCCTTAAGCTTGAAATACTGACACAGTAAATTAAATAAGAATCAGTGTATGTGGGATTTTTGTTGTAAAATATATTACTATAAAAATATTACATTCCTAAATTGTTTTTAACTGGATTAAATATTGCTTGGAGAAGTCAAAGGGATGGAGCAATGAACAAATATGGGCAATGTTCCTCAACTTGACTGTCAAGCTTGTAGAATACTTTGCTGGTGCAACAATTACGGCTTCTCAGCTTGCCAATGAACTTGGGGGGATGATAGGGAAATGGAATGCAGCTACAAAGATAAGGCAGACTGTGAGAACCAAGGATTCACCAGGTGTGTCTGACCCAACTCAGAGACATTTTCTCATAACAATATAATTGCACCTAATTGGGCAATGTGACCTGTTCAGGGATGGGAGAGGGAATTCTATACTTTTACTAGGGGTTTGAGTTGAGTCTAAACAGAGCTGTTTTTGCTTTAATATGTGCCAAAATGATATACTCAATAAAGTTTTACGTTAAGAGATCAGAACATCTTGAAGGAGTTTGCTTGGTTGGGTTGGTCAGTCAGAACCTTGATATTGGCAACTTTAAGATGGGTGGACTTCAACTCCCAGAATTCCTTAGCCAGCATGCTGGGATTTGGAGAGTTGAAGTCCACACAGCTTAAAGTGGCCAAGTTTGAGAATCACTAATATGAGTGATCAATTAAGAACTCCCTACTCAATTAGAGATGTAATCCTGTCACATTACCAAGTATCCCGAGGTGCTTTTCTTCCTCCGTCCGCTCTTTCTCCACAAGAAAAGTACCATCCGTATATTCAACGTATTTGGCTTTCCAGTATGTTCCGCCAAGTTGACTGACATTTTGCTTAAAGAACAGCTGTGAGAAACTGAACAAAAACAAGGCCACAATGATTTCTTGCATTAGCCAGCAGCCACGGCATTTCTTAAATCTCAGAGCTTTTAAAAGGCAAATTTGTTATGGAGTATTTAACTCTGGCTCTATGAAGAACCATAGTGAGTTTCATCTTGAACTGTGCAAACAGCTTTGGCAAATTAACCTTTTTTGTTGCTCTTGAGAGGGTGGTTTAATCATAACAATGAAGAAATATCCCTGACAGTTTTATATTCCACATAATCATGCCAGGGAAAGAAAAACAATCCTGCAACAAATTGAATAATCAGTTTCATTTTTAGCACTTCACATTAGATACACTAAATTCTAATCCTCACTAGTGTTTTTATTTTATCTTTTAGTTCGCATAGAACAGTAAAACCAAGTGCAAATTGATGCATAGACAGACCCAACATCTTTTAGCATCTGGAGTAGGCTGTGAGTATCCTCCATAGCTTTTCCTGCTGACATCGCTGAGCTTCCCTGTGGTTACTTTGGAAAACTAGGCCGGTTATGGCAAAGCCCAGTTCAACTAAAAACTGAACACCTGCAGGGAAATGTCACCACTAAGGCTCCCTTTTGGCCTCTCTCTCCAGGACTGAGCTGAACAAGAAATGTTCTAAGGACCAGCCTGAGATTTCCTGGTCTAGCAGGATTGGAAGCAGTGACTGGGTGGGCCATCTAATAGGTAAAAGGACACCTGTTTTGCATTCAACGGAGTTCAGGTTCAATTCCTGACATTTTCTGTTAATCCCAGAAAAGTGTATGTAGTTGTGGATCATTTTTTTTTAAAAATCAATCAATGAATAAGTATTTGTTTAACTGGATTCTCTTTACCTAGTTTTAGGATTTGCGTGGATCACATATCACATTTTAAGTCATATTTATGCAGAAATATTAAAAAGCCTGTTCGGAAGACACTGTCATGTGACAGTCTCAACGTGCATCAAAAACTAATTCTCTAGATGGGACTGTCAATAGGGATTCTAACAGTGGCTGGGCTAGGTAATGCTCTCTTTAGGGCCAACTTGAGCTCATCTGCCTTTCTGGTAAGTTGTCATTGTTCAACATTCATTGAAACTGTCTGCATCCCAACTCAGGCAGTGAATTTAGTTAATCATTCTTTTATTACAAAAGTACAGTTAGCAGTTGAAAAATCAATTTTTTCCATGATACTCCTTGCAGCACTGCAGATGCATACCTGGCTAAAGTATGTAGGCTTTGGAAACCACATTTGAAACCTTGGATCAAAGGGACATACCTGTTTGGCTCACGCAGGCTTTTCCCAGTATTTGGGTCTAATCCGGAAGGGCCATAATTCCACCGCACTTCTTTGGCTGCTATGTAATATTGCCGTAGTTTCCCTTTCAGGGAAGATCCTGAATCCTGATAGGAGCAACGCTTGACTTCATAGAGAGCTTCCATTCCCGCTGTGGAGGCCAAGAAGAGATCATGAGAGACTGAGAGTCAGTTTCTATTTTGTCAATTTGTGGAGAAGAAAAGAGGGTGGTTCAGCGGATGCAGAAAAATATTTTTTATAAGTGGGGTTAGCCGATTGTTGATGTGGTTGACCAGATCTGTCATCAGTTCTTTTATAATTATCATACTCTTTTTCTGCTATTATTTGTACTGTACATCACCCAGAGTCAGCTGGGTCATTCCTACATTGAATAAATAAAATTAGGTTGTTCAGTTTTCCAGATACAAGGAACATGATGATCTATCTGCGCATTAGAGAGCTGTACAAACAGAGCAACTTTGGAATGTAAGTGTTCAACTCAGAAATCCAATATTGATTTGATAGATTAATCAGAAACTCAATAAGTGATCTCTTTGATTCTCCAAAAGACTGTCTGTCCACTTCTGCTCATAGCTGGATTGTATTGTCTGTTTTAAAGACTGCAAGGCTCTACCGGAAAGTATCAGAATGGAGATACAGTTATGATCCCTTTTCCTTTTTTTATGGACCCCACACAAATATTCCCAAAATTGTTATTATGGTGCTGCAGAGACCACTTACTTTTTCAGCATGTGTTGGAGATTTGAATTCATCAGCAGCTTTTGTTAAAGAGTGTGCTCCTGAACACCAGTAGAGCGTTGAAAGAATAATAGCAGAACATCTCTTTAGAAAGAGTAAAATGCTCATAGTATAGTTGCCTTGGCTAAGGAGAATGAGCTTAGCCCAGCTATCAACAAATCCTAATAGTCAGTCACTGTATTTAAAGTAAAAGTCAGACTTATTAGAAATATATAAGGATTAAAAACCTAAACTATATCTCAAAGAGGGATGGATAGAGAAAATTCCGTCTATCTCTTAAATACAGAGACTCAAGTATACACTGTGGGCACAAATATTAGGCAAATTGTATTTTGGAGAATTAATTGCTTATTGAACAACTACAGTCCTCTTGGTCAATCCAAAATGTTAATAAACCTCAAACCTGAATATTTAAGAAAGTACAAGTGAGGGTTTACCTTTCTTAGGAGAAAATCTATGTATGCACAATTATTGGGCAACTATTAGTGTGAAGAATTATCATGCAACTAAATGAAAAATGAAAATTTGCCCCTCTCACTTGTTTATTTGCATCTGTTAAAGTGAGAATAACAAACAACTAAAAATGTACACATAAACATTTTTGACATTTACTTCTGAGTGCACCCCCCCATCTGCATGCTTATGGGCTAGGTGACAAAAGTTGTTGGGGTGCCCCCCATGATAAAGCCATCTAACTCAGAGGCCCCCAACGTTTTGGGCACCAGAGACCAATTCTGTGGAGAAGATTTTTCTGCAGACCAGAGATAATGTGGTTTCGTTTGCTGCATGTATCCCATGGATGGGGCTTTGCTTGTTTGTGCGGCCCAGTTGCTGGCCGGCAACTGTCCCTATAGAGCTGAACTTTCCCCGGTCCAGGCTGAAAACTCATCTCAGAGCTTTGTTAGATTTGGGCTGCACCAGGTGCTTAGTAAACTCAGCACTGGTCGAGAAACTGGTAATCTGACTGAGGCGGTTAAAAGTTCCAGTGGCATTTTGTCAGTTAGATCAGGAGTCCCCAACCCCAGGTCCATGGAGCCCAAAATTTCCTTTGCTAAGCAAGGCAGTTAAGTGAATTTTGCCACATTTTTCAACCATTCTTGCCACAGTTCTTAAGTGAAACACTGCAGTTGTTAAATTATTAACACGGTTAAGGTAATCTGGCTTCCCCATTGACTTTGTTTGTCAGAAGGCCACAAAAGGTGATCACATGACCCTAGGACACTGCAACCATCATAAATATGAGTCAATTGCCAAGTGTCTGAATTTTGATCATGACTATTTGGATGATAAATGATCATGCGAAAAACAGTCATATAAGTGACTGTTTTTTAGTGATATTGCAACTTCAAACGGTCACTAAACTAACAGTTGTAAGTTGAGAACTACCTGTAATTAGCAATTAATTGCTAGTTCTTACTAGAAATCTGGGGACAAACCAGATACCCAGTCACTGAACATCCTTTTCTTTACCTGCCTCTCATTATTTGCCCTAATGTTCTAATGTATGCTTTCTCAACCTTGGCAGCTTTAAGATACATGGACTTCAACTCCCAGTCAGCTATGCTTGCAGCCTGCTTGAGGTCCACATACTTAAAAGTTGCCAAGATTGAGAAGCATGGTTTTTATATCTTAGATGAACTAATGAGGCTATTTGCAATAAAACATGAATATATTCTTGGAATGGCAGCATGGTGGCTCAGCGGTTAAGATGTTGGGCTTGTTGGCTGGAAAGCCAGCAGCCCAGGTTTGATACCCAAGAGCCACATGGCAGGATGAGCTCTCGTCCTCGCCCCAGCTCCTGCCCACCTAGCAGTTTTAAAGCATACAACTGCAAGTAGATAAATAGATACCACTTTGTGTGAAATCTTTTATTTTCTTGTCTTGTTCTTTCCTTTTTCCATTAAAAAGTTCTACCCTGTAAGCAGTTATTAAAGGCTTGGCTTTCAAGCCTTTTTTTGTACATGAGTGGTTTTGCAATGCATTATTGGAGGTTCCTTCTATCAATGACATTTCTGTTTATGGGCTACCACAGTAGAAGAAAATAAATACATGAAACATTTAGCTGACCACAATGAGAACAATGCTTTTAGTGACAATGTTGTTTCTCTCCCTTATTTTTTTCTACTAGTTTCTCCTAAAAGTGGTCTGATATTGTAAAAACCCTCACTCTTAGTCCCTACTTCCCCCATCCTTGCTTGTATTTGTACTTCCGCAAATGAAAGTTATGAATATTTTGTGAAATGAAAGAGTTGCAGAGGCCATTCAGGCATTTCTGAGAGGTGGCTGCCCAGTCCCCCTCGCATACCTCTCTGCCTCTCTGGACTGAATCATTGGTTCCTCTGTTGAACTGCAGGCATTTTGTTAATCCTTTTTTTCCCCTAACAATCAAGGAGAATTTGCATGGGTTTGTTAAAAGCAGATCATGCCAAACCAATCTTATTTCATTCTTTGATAAAGTAACTAAATTAGTAGACCAACAAAATGCTGTGGACATAGTATATTTACACTTCGGCAAGGCATTTGACAAAGTAGACCATAATCTACTTCTTGGTAAGCTAGAAAAATGTGGGATGACACCACCAGATGGATTTATAACTGGCTGACAAACCATACTCAACGAGTAATCCTTAATGGTAAGGGGTACATTTGCTCCACACACACCGCATTGAGACTACGGAAGTCCACACAAAGCCGCAGTCCCCCATCCTTCTTCTCTTGGAATAAAACCGGTGCCGCTATCCGGGAGCAAGCTGGCTGTATGAAACCCCGTGCTAAATTTTTGTCTATATATTGCCTCAACTCTTGTAGCTCTAGGGGTGTCATAGGATACATTCTAGATTTTGGTAACTTGGCCCCCAGGAGTATTTCAATCGCACAATCAGTTGGGCGATGAGGCGGTAGACTATCACACTCCCGTTCACTAAACACAGCTGCAAGGTCGTTATACACAGCTGGAAAGTTGTGACCACCCTCCTCCTGTGCTGCCTTGATCCCCTCTTCCCTCTTCTCCGCGCCGTCTGTATGTGGTTGGGACGGCTGTGGACCCACTCCGATCCGTAAATGACAATACCCATCAGCCCACCACATAGTCGGAGTCCATTTGTCTAGCCAAGCCAAACCTAGGATCACTGCCTCAGTCATAGATGGGACCACTACAAACCGGATAGTCTCCCAATGTGTTCCCATTTCCATCCTCACCGGTTCTGTAATGATAGTGGCAGCCCCCCCAAAAGGGATCCATCTAAAGTGAGAGGCTGGAAAAATACTGATTGTCTGATAGAAATTGTGGGTGAAAGGGAGGTTTTTCTGTTCCCCAGACCACACTTAAATTTAGAAATGCCAGACTAGCCTGATATCCTGTTTTTAACTCTGCACATGATATATTGCAAACTGTCTATCACATGATATATTGCAAACTGCTAAAAGCATTCCTGTGTTAGAATAAGGAACTATAGGATGTAACCATGTATGGAATATGTCTTGATCAGGAAATACCTACGTATTGGGGGTTATAAATATGATCATCCATGCCCCGGCTGGGCATTCAGACCCTTTAAGCTGTGAATAGCACTCTGAACCTGCACAATAAACTTCCCTTTCCTCAAAAGAGCTGACTCAAGTCTCTCACTTCTACAACACATCCACCTGCTCGAACCGGATGGGAGACGCTAGCCGGGTTACTCTAATGCTCACCGTATGTGCCACCTCCCAACTGATTAAACAGAGAGTGCATCCTGTGTCAATTAGGAATGCCCTGTGAGTGGACTTGTTAAGGTGATTGGAATGGCAAAAGGAGCTATAGGCTCACTCACCATGGGGTCTTCTACTGGATCTCCATCATCATACTCCTCCAGGATGGATGTCTGTTCACCTGGAGATTGTTGGGGAAGTTCCCCTTCCGCTTGGCGGATGGCCCGTGACCTTTCCGTGACCTTCCTCGGCGTAGCCCCTGGCTTCCTGGCAGCATTTGGTGTGCTAGGTAGTACTGGAACCGGACATTCGGCTACTCGATGACCTGGCCGGTTACACCAGAAGCACCAGAATACAGCCCTAGGCTTCGGACTAGATGTTGGGGTTTGTTTGCTGACGTCCTTCAGCCATTCCACATCCCAACGGGGTTGTGGTTGTTCATCAGGCATTTGGTGAAACTCCCGCAAACCTGCATCTAACTCCATTACCACTCTGAACCATTCTGGAAGGCGGCCTGGAATCCCCCTCACCACACATGCACGGCGTAGTTCACTATCTAACCCGGCCCGGAAGTGGTGGACTAACAGGCGCTCTGGCCATGAATGAAGTCTCCCAGCCACCCTTTGAAATTCACGTATGTACTCCCTTACTGGCTTGCCCCGTTGCCGTAGCCCCAGCAGCTCCGCCTCTGCCCTTTGCGCCCAGAAGGGATCTTCAAACCGGGTCTTTAGGGCATCTAGAAACAGGCCAATATCTGCCAGCTCCCGGGTGTGGTCGCTGTATAAATCAGCAGCCCAGGCTGCTGCCTCACCCTGTAAGCTTGCTGTCACAGCCACCACCATTGCCCAGTTGGATGGATACAGAGCTGTAAAACGGTCCAGGTGGCTGAGAACATGGCTCAAGAAAACAGTCAGGCAATCTGGGTCGCCATCAAAAGTGACTATGATAGGAGGTGGATTCCACAGCACCGCCTGGGGCCATAAATGTAATCTTAAATTCCATATTTATATCTTATTCTAGCTTTCTTTCTGTTCCAAATGGGTTTCCATAGTAAGGCCTCTAAGTCCACAAATAAAACTCCCTCCATTTCTTGCCGTAACGCATAAATCTGGGGAGAATCTCCCATTGTCCATTTTAATAGGCTAGTGAAAAAGTTGTAGTGATTCTCAATAGCTCGTGGTTGAACATCCATCTTCATCTTTTTTGAAGTTGCATCTAGTTTAATTACAGTCATTTCTGAACCATCCAAAGACTCTATAGATTGTCTATAAAATAATGTAGAGTCTTCTTTACTATTATTTTGCTTTCCTTCTACTGGTTTTTTATCTGTCAGGTAATCAGTTGGAGTCTGGAGATTAGCCTGTCCTTCTGGGATAACATCCTTAGTTTCCGTGCTAAGAGTCATTTGTTCATTAGCATCAAAAGTTTTTTCCGGTGTAGGTTGGTAGTCCTGATGTAAGTTTAATTCCTCCATCTCAGTAAATTGTGAATAAGGTTGAAGACGGGTCTCTTGAGTATATACCCCTTCTGCTGTTTCTTGGCTTACAAAGTGCTCACTTACACCTTGCGCTTTAATTTGTTGTTGAAAAATAATCTCTTTTGTATAGGCAATTATTTGTTCAGTATTTTCAAGAATTTTGTCCAATATATACTTTTAATTGAAATCTGGACAGAGTTCCTCCATTTCAGTACTATATAAAACCATTATTCTTTTGGTGGAGGCTGTATTTAATAACAATCAGTCAGTATCCACTTCCACCCAGCTATACAGCTTCTTTATCTTTCCTTTTTGAGATAATTTGAAGGTCAAAGTCAGACTCAGAGTCCAAAAAAACAAACAAAAAAACAATTGCAGTAAATAATTTCACCACAAGATGTCCCCAGAGGGTTAACCAGTTCAGTCTTTCCAGACCCCCAATAAAAATGATTTCTTCCCTCTTTTCCTTCTTTCCTTTGGTTATAAAAATAGTAGAAAATAAAATAAAAAATTCCTCCAAATTGCTAGCATATTAAGTTTCTGTAACAAGGATTTTAGGACTCTCAAATATTCAAAAATAAAATCAACCATTGAAAAAGTTAAAATTAATTTTTCTTTTGTTCCAAGGCTTTCCTTCCCCCATCAACAAAGCTGCTTTAAAAAGATAGGGAAATGATTCCAAAGGCTTTTCACAGGAATAAATAGGAAAGGGAGAGGCAAGGAAAGGAAAGGTCTCACTGAATCTTCCATGGTGGTTCTATTTCACTTAGATGTTCTTGTGGTTTATGGCTGGTGCAGCTATGTGATCGGCCATTTTACTGACCAATCTTTACTCCGTTGGCCCAAAGGAGCTCGCTTGGAAAGCAGAGGGCGCCACCGCCCCTCTGCAGTCAAACAGGCAGCCTCCCCAATGGTGGTCGCCCCTCCAGGGCGACTTTCGACCCAATTAAGTGTCTATCGGCAGGGGAAACGGCCGGCAAAGAGACGAACCTCTCTGCACGACCGCAGCACTGCGACCTGGAACCGGAAGCCAAGATTTTGTTATTGTACTATTGATTACCCAATCACCACGCTGCTTTCCAAATATTCAAATGTAAAACTGGAAAACCAATAAAAATTTGTTATAAAAAAAAAGATCATTCTGAATTTTATGCCCATCTTCTAAGGCAGGGCTTTTCAACCGGTGATATGTGTACCACGAGTGGTACTTTGGCACATGGCAGGTGGTACATGACCTTCCTAGAAAAGTGTAGCAGAGGAGAGGAATGAGCTGAAGCGACTCAAGCCTGAGGGAGAGGCAGCTGGAGCTGCAGGACTGTTGGGGCTTGGCAGAAGCCCCAGGATCGCCGCAGGGCTCCAGCTGATTGGCGCTTCTGGAAGTAGCGCAGAGCTGGAGGTGAACTGAAGAAAACGGGGGGGGGGGGGAAAGGAGAGGATATAAAAGAGGTGGTTTTGGCAGGAAAGGGAAAAAAAAGACAATAGGGAAAAAGAAGGGGATGGAGAAGAAGCTGTGAAAGGAGAGCCCAGCAGGCAAGGAGGAGAAAGAGACAGGGAAGAAGTTCATATTCTCCAGCTAGGAGAATTCAATCAGCACTAATGAAATGACAAGCTGGAAGATGAGCATGTCAGAAAGGATGTTGGTTTATTTTGGAAGCCAATAGGTTCTGGGTTAGCTGGCAGCTTGATCGGGTTACCATAAGGACTTTTATACAGTTTTTACAGCATTTCATAATTCAGAGGTTAGGTTTGTGTGCTTGGTTATTGGAATATTTTAGTTTGTTTCACGAAGTCTAGCAATGAATCCAAAATGTTCACTTCTGTAGGTTTTAATCCATTTAAACAAATGTAATTAGTTTTACCCCCTTATCTTGAGTCTGTCTATGGCTTTTAGCAAGATTTCTTTGTAGGTAAACAGGCTTAATTTAAGATTATCCCTTTTCGCAATTGCTGGAACTTTTCAGGCTCTGGTTGCAATATTGTTTAAACTGAGGAATGCCTGAGGCTATTATTTGACAGTTTGAAGAAAAGAAAACGGAGTTAGTGTTTCTTTATTCTGGGAGGCTTTTGTGAGCCTTTCTTGCTTTGCGCTTGATTCCTGTGTCCTTATGGGTACAGTGTAGGATTGGGGAGTGTATTCTTACTACACTGTGGAAGGAGAGCCCAGAAGGCAGAGAGGAAGAAGAGAGAGGAGAGGGAAAGAGGGCCGACCAGCCAGCTGACCATCAGGATAGTGGTGCATATTAATAAATATGAATAAATTCATCATACATTTGTCAGTGCAAAGGGAAAGTGATTCAGCAAAGGAACAGCTACCAAAGAAATTAAAACCGGTACTTTTTTTCCTTTTTTGCTACAGTTTGTAACATTTTATTAGATTATAGAATAAAATACAAAAATACAAAAGCAAATAGTGGGACACAGTGGGGAGGAAAAGGGGGGGAAAGTGAGGGGAGAAGGGAAAAAGAACAGACTTCCTCTGTTGCAGTAGAAGGAAGCATTAACATTGAACCTCAGCTTTTTACTTTTCCATATTATAAACTAGCCATTTCTATAACAACAAATGAATCTAATCAGTAAAACCCAAAATCCCTCTCTTTTTTTAGTCATCAAGTTTTTGATACCTTGCTAAGCACTGGTGGTACTCAAATATTGTGATATCCTAAAAGTGGTACAATCTGTTGAAAAGTCCTGTTCTAAGGCTTTAGTTGGCAAATATGCCAATGATAACTATTTGGTATCATTGGCATATTTGTTAAGTATTTTCTCTACCTTTGTATTTACATCTCTCATTGTATTCACATATTCACTCATTTATTAAAATATTGATCATGCAAAAATCAGACATGACATATGAAGCTGCAATTTATTCTAACTTTCCTTCCTTCTTGTGGTGTTTCCCTTGAATTATTTTTAGTTGTTTTTCCTGTCTTTGGGAAGAGGGAACTCTCCTAAAAGCATTAGATTTAGAAAATCTAGAAAATGTTCTAGATCTAGGAAATGTTCACAGTGTGATATTATAAATTGTTGGAACAACTGTGGTATCTGATTGTTTTTAGTCAAAAAAAGAAGACCCAACTGCACTACCATCTTTTTCATGGATTATAAAGTACTTCCTCAAAGATATTAAGATGTCCTCTGAATATGGTCAAAACATTGAGATGGCAGCTGTGATAATGGTCTAATAGAAGCCACACATGAAAAAAACAGCTTCTTCTATGCAGTGTCACATCTGTCATCTTGACTTCTTTGACCATATCCCACAGACAACTGATTCAGAGCATGGTCCTGAAAGAAGAACGTTTTATGGGTTTGGTTCAGCTCTCCCCTTTCTTCTCAAGCAAAATGGCTCTTATTTGTGTAGGTGACTTAAGGACTGAGGTTGCTCACCTTGCAAGTGGTCAGAGACCTCACAGGTCAGCAACCATTTCCCAACATTGTGAGGAACCATTTCAGCTGCCACGAAGGTTGCTGGGAAAAGAGAGGCCACATCAGTCCGGTGTCCTCGGTTGATCAGTGTCTGTCCATGGAAGAAGGCAGTGTGGACATCAATCTCACTGCCCATCCCAAAGAGATGCCACGAGACCCGATCTCCGGCACATACTGTGATCTCAGGGAGGTTCCCAAAGACATAACCATTAATGGCTGCAGAAAGAAAGAGGAAAGTCACAGTGGGAGGGGGTTCAGGGTTAACTCTTGGATAAGAGAGGACAGGACTGGCATGGGTCCGTTCCTTAAAAAAAAAAAAGAATTGTAGTTGCATTTTCCTAAAAAAACAATGCCTTTTAATAACAGTTAATAACAAATATACAGCAATGTAAACTATAGATTATTATAAAACAAACCATATGCTTAAAAATAATCAAAATGTTTAAAAAGCCCACCAAAACAAAACCAAGAAACAAAAGGAAAAAAAAGACATAGCCAAAAAAAATATAAAACACAAGAATACCATTCAAATTTTAAAATCATATTACCATTCTAAATTTTCAAGTATTAACACACTATTAATACCACTCCCTTTTAAAGTAATAAATTGGACCACATGGATTCCTATTGTCTAATTTCATCTCTTCCTTGAGGAAAAGCCAGATAAGAGGTGACAGATTGCATGAAGCCAACTTTTAGAGTCTGAAGTACAAACTTCTTTCCAGGAATACATGATCACCTTCTTTGTCCAAGCACAATATTTTCAAAACACTGAGAATTTCTAAATGTTTACAGTATAATTTAATATCACTTTAACATTTTTACGCTTAACTTCCTTCAAGGAATCAATTCGCTACAATACTATTTTACCAGTGAAGAATTGCTAGTTGACATGTCCATATTCTAAGGTTCCTTTACATCTAGGACCTAAGAAGGACAATGGCCGACTAATAAACTTTCCAGATATTTTTTGTTAAGTGGGATGTTATAGTTCCAATAGATAAGGCCGCGACCCTTTAATACAGTTCCTCATGTTGTGGTGGCCCCCAACCATAAAATTATTTTCATTGCTACTTCATAACTGTAATTTTGCTACTGTTATGAATCGTAATGTAAATATCTAATATGCAGAGTGTATTTTCATTGTTACGAACTGAACATAATTAAAGCATAGCGATTAATCACAAAAACAATATAGCAATGCTCGCTGGAGAAGCTTTCTCTTCCTTGCTCAAAAATGTTGGGAGGGAGGGAAGGGGAAGGAAGGAAGGAAGGAAGGGGAAAAGAAGGAGATGGAGAAGGAAGGAGATTGAAGTGGAAAGGAAGGAAGGAAGGAAGGAAGGAAGGAAGGAAGGAAGGAAGGAAGGAAGGAAGGAAGGAAGGAGAAAGAGATTGAAGGAGAAGGGATGGTGATGGAGATGGAAGGAAGGAAGATTGAAGGGGAAAGGAAGGAGATGGAGAAGGAAGAAGATTGAAGGGGGAAAGAAGGAAGGAAGGAAGGAAGGAAGGAAGGAAGGAAGGAAGGAAGGAAGGAAGGAAGGAAGGAAGGAAGGAAGGAAGGAAGATTGAAGGGGAAAGGAAGGAGATGGAGAAGGAAGGAGATTGAAGGGGAAGGAAGGAAGGAAGGAAAGAAGGAAGGAAGGAGAGAGAGATTGAAGGGAAAAGGAAGGAGATGGAGAAGGAAGGAGATTGAAGGGGGAAGGAAGGAAGGAGAGAGAGATTGAAGGGGAAGGGATGGAGATGGAAGGAAGGAAGATTGAAGGGGAAAGGAAGGAGATGGAGAAGGAAGGAGATTGAAGAAGGAAGGAAGGAAGGAAGGAAGGAAGGAAGGAAGGAAGGAAGGAAGGAAGGAGAGGGAGATTGAAGGGGAAGGGATGGAGTTGGAGATGAAAGGAAGGAAGATTGAATGGGAAAGGAAGGAGATGGAGAAGGAAGGAGATTGAAGGGGGGAGGCACTGCCAAGGACGCACAAGCAGCTCCGCACAATTGCCCGGGGAGGGGGAAGGCTCTGATAGAGAGCCTGGTGGAGAGCTAAGCGGTGGCACATCTGGGGCCTCGAAAGCTGCGCCTCGGATCCATGTGCCTTGGAGCCGTCAGCTGCCCTCTCACACCCGCCAACCTGGAGCCCCACATCCTCATCCCAGCACCTCTTGCCCTCTCCCAGCTGCCCCCCAGGACCTGCTCACTCCTCCAGCCTCCTGAGCGCCATCGCAGCGGCGGGGTCGTGGGAGCCCCTTTCCATGCTGTGCAGCGCATCGCACATGAGAGGGGCGCAGCCGGAGCGCCAGCTCCCGCTCGGAAGGTGCCACTTCTCCCCTTCCGGCCCAGCCGGCTGGCCTCGCCCTCTTCCCCGCCCTCTGGCTGCTTCCAAGGCCCGGAGCCCGGCAAGCCGGGAAGGAGCTGCTCCTGCCTGGCAGCCTCATGGCTGTGCTGGGCACTGGAGGGCTGAGGCGGCCTCCGACGGCGAGGAAGGCTGGCCGGGCGGTGCGGGGTAGGCTCGCGTGCAGCTCGGAGGGTGGCTGGGGACAGAGCATGGCCGGGCAACCAGGAGGCATGGAGACCAGTGAGGCGCTGCAGCTCAGCTCAGTCGGCAGCGGCAGCAGCAGCAGCAGCAGAGCAGCCCAGCGGCAACGCCAGCAGCAGCCCAGACCCAGCTCAGCTTGGCCCGGCCATTGAGCCAGCCCAGGGTGGCGTCGGGGCCGCGTGCAATGACGCTGCGGTGGCAGGAGCAGGCGCTGTTGGAGGAGAAGGACGCCCCGGAGGTGGAGGAGCCAGCGGAGGAGGGCAAGGGTGGCGGCGGCGGCCGGATGGAGGAGCAGTGTCTTGGTTTCTAAGACCATCGGAAATATTTGTTTTCCGATGGTCTTAGGTGACCCCTGTGAAAGCGTCGTTTGACCCCCAAAAGGGTCACGACCCACAGGTTGAGAACCGCTGCTATAAAGCATTAACAGATAAAAGGGGGTTTCTCTTTCTGGCTCTTTCAACAAAGCTCAGAAGAAAATTAAAAACTTGAAAAGTGAAAGTGCTGACTAAGCAGACAGAGCGGACATTTTGAATAGGAATGGAGGACTGATTGATATTAAACGAGGGAAGAGAGACACCTACAAGTTAAGAAGGAAACACGCATAGAAGTAAAGTAAAGAAACCACCCTAAAATCACTCCAAAAAATAAAAAGGCCAAGCTGTAGTTGAATTGAGGACCCAGGCAAATAAGAATTGATTGAATATAACCTATTACATGATTGAACTGGAAGAGACTAACTAGGCACAAAAGGCTGAAAACTTAAAGAAGGTGAGAAAAATCACATATTTGTCTACCTTGCTGATCACGTCAACCCCTAATCAAGAGATTAATTGTAAAACCTGGACTGTATTGCTAATGAATTGAACATCTGCTATAATATTTAGACAAATCAACTGTTATATATTATTATATACAACTATTTAGATAAATTAGATTTGCAGTGGAATATGAGCATTTGAAACTGATAAATACTTTAGCCTGTTAATTACTGTATATTAAAAGCGCCAGTGTTAGACAAATCAACTGTTATATATTATTATATACAGCTATTTAGATAAATTAGATTTGCAGTGGAATATGAGCATTTGAAACTGATAAATACTTTAGCCTGTTAATTACTGTATATTAAAAGCACCAGTGTTAGAGGCTTTATATTGCATTAGTAACAGAACATAATATTGTTAAGATATAAGGTATCAGTGATAATATTAGAAGAATAGCAAATCTTTCAGGTGTGGTGGAAGAAAAGACAAAGATCGTACATAAGTGGGAGTGAGGGCTTTTGTCATCATTCCAAAAGATGACAAGCATTCCCAACTTAAGAAAAGTTGGGACTGGAAGAAGGCAGATAACTCAAACAACATCGGCAGATCTAAGCCCAGCAGGGCAAAGATCGATAGAAGAAATGATACCAAGGGAAAGAGCAGGCTCACTTAAAGACCTACAATCAATGTTAAAATCAATGCAAGAGGTCATGTTGAGAAATCACGAAGACCTGAAAAAAGAAATAGGCAAAATAAGGAATGACACCGGAGAACTCAAAGAGAAGATGGGAACAATGGATCAGAAATTTGAATGCTTCCAACAACAAATACTGAAAAATGAACAGAAATTATTAGAAATGGAAGATAGAATGAATAAGGAGGAAAGAAGAGTAGATAAAATGAACGAAAGACTCTCACAAGTAAACAAAGAATTGGAAAAAAACTGTTATCTTGCTAGAGACAGAGAAAGCAAATCACTACTTATGTTTTCAGAACGTGAAAAAGAAGGGGGAGGACCTCTCAGAAATGATGACAGATATGTTAGCGAGAGCTTTAGAAATTGAGAAAGAAGAGATGGCAAATGAGATAGATGAAATATATAAAATACACACAAATTATGCAAGATGAAACAACTTATCTAAGGAAATGCATATTAGATTCGTCAAGAAATCAGTCAGAGATGAGATCCTGCATAGAACTAGAGATGACCCAACAGAATATAAAGGAAAACAACTAACAATTCTTAAACAAGTCCTCAGGAGGGTAAGAGATCTTAGAAGACCTTATTAACACATCACATTGAAACTAATACCAAATATTAATTTTAGGTGGTTGATGCCGGAAAGGATCCTGGTGACTTGGCAAGAAAAAAGATACAGGTTGGATACAATAAACAAAGCAGAAGAGTTTTCTCAGCAATAGCTAGGTAGCGAAGATGAACTAGAAGAAAGAGAACTAAGAGAAGAAGATATTACAGAGAGACATAGCAGAAAGGCACGAGAAGCACAAAGCAAAGAACCGGAAATTGAGAGAAAGGAAAAAATGAATAATGGCAATAATGACGAAAGTAGACATAAAGAAGACAGATCAATGAGAATGACTAGATTAAAATATAGGCAGTAATGTGGACGAACTAACAGCATTATCACTAAATGTAAATGGCTTAAACTCCCCGGCTAAGGGAAACAAAATTTTGAATAGGCTTAGTAAGAAAAACTTAGACATAATAATCTTACAAGAAACACATATAAAGAATTAGCACCAAGATCTATTAAACTACCCCAAGTTAGGAATTAAATTTGTATCTCTTTCACAGCAGAAAAAAGGAGGAATAGTGATATATGTCAAGGAAAAAATCCCAGCAAAACAAATTTATCAGGATGAGGAAGGTAGAATACTGATAATTGAAATCTCCTTGAATAAAAAAA